TATTCTGAAAATATGAATATTGAATATCGAAAACTTTTGAATATATAATTCATCATATGAAAGTTAGTAAAATTTCACTATGTTGGACCCTTTTATAAATAATACAATTACTCGGTACATTTCATTTTATATGAACACAACTTTGTCATAAATTTCAGATCCATCTTGTATTCTGTTTTGCATTTGCATGTAGTTACTCAAAACATTTTATTCACCACAACTAGCTTGATTTACTAATGGAATACTCTCAAATGCCAGTGTTCCCAAACCCCATTATACAGGTAATTTACCCCCCCCCCCCCCACCCATCAAATTATCATATATACATGTATTTTTGGAATGTTACATTATTCACATATGAATGTTTTCTCCTTTGTCACAAAGTTGTCCCGAAATATTATCAATCATGGAAATAAAAGGAAAACCTCTTACTGATGGTAATGTATGTTGGTCAAAATCTACCCTTGGACAAAATAGGGTTTATATGAAATGTATATGGTAGATGAAAATTTACATATACATAAGCATTACAATGTTGTTATATGTACATTGTAGAAGTGCAATAAATTGTATGCTGTGAATTCACTTAATTTCGTGGGCATGAAACTATGGTTTTGTCACACAAAGAACATATTTGTGGGTTCTTGAATTCATGGACAGCTTATTTTTTCCAAATGGTAAAATGTAAATAAATAATGCAATGCAAAATAATCTTACATCAGATGAAATAAAATTTCATTGGATCTTAAATTCGTGGATCAACCTATCCACCAAAACCAAGAAACAAGAAACATGGCAATGCCATGAAACCAGGTTTTCAATTATCACCATTGTAGATAAATATGTTGTATTTGAAATACAAATACAAGCAACAAACAATGTAACTATGTGCAATGTAAAACATGAATAATGTAGGAGGAATTGCCACTGAAGAAGTGTTCACTATAATATTATGTATAAGGAAAAAAACAAAGGGCCATAATTAGGTCAAAAACTATCCAATCACAAAACCCCGACAATATGTGCCAGGGTGCTTGATGACAAAGCTTCTGTGAAAGTTTGAACAAAATCCGTTGAGAAATGTAGGACGAGTTCAGCACAGAAGAATTTGTTCACTATAATTATATTGATAATTCTGTATAATGAAAAACAAGTAACAAAGTGGACATGAAATAATATATCATATCTTTTTTAAATTACCTCCAAAGATGATATGACCTTTGACGGCCAAATCAAGTTAAAATCATGTAAACAGGATTTTCAATGTTAATGTCACTGTGACCTTGACCTTGGAGCCAGCCATGCGGAACATGCGTTCTGCACGTCATCTTGATGTGGTAAACATTTGTCTGAAGTTTCATCAAAATTCTTCAAAGGGTTGAAGAGTTACAGAGCGGACAGGATTTTCAATGTTAATGTCACTGTGACCTTGACCTTGGAGCCAGCCATGCGGAACATGCGTTCTGCACGTCATCTTGATGTGGTAAACATTTGTCTGAAGTTTCATCAAAATTCTTCAAAGGGTTGAAGAGTTACAGAGCGGACAGGATTTTCAATGTTAATGTCACTGTGACCTTGACCTTGGAGCCAGCCATGCGGAACATGCGTTCTGCACGTCATCTTGATGTGGTAAACATTTGTCTGAAGTTTCATCAAAATTCTTCAAAGGGTTGAAGAGTTACAGAGCGGACAGGATTTTCAATGTTAATGTCACTGTGACCTTGACCTTGGAGCCAGCCATGCGGAACATGCGTTCTGCACGTCATCTTGATGTGGTAAACATTTGTCTGAAGTTTCATCAAAATTCTTCAAAGGGTTGAAGAGTTACAGAGCGGACAGGATTTTCAATGTTAATGTCACTGTGACCTTGACCTTGGAGCCAGCCATGCGGAACATGCGTTCTGCACGTCATCTTGATGTGGTAAACATTTGTCTGAAGTTTCATCAAAATTCTTCAAAGGGTTGAAGAGTTACAGAGCGGACAGGATTTTCAATGTTAATGTCACTGTGACCTTGACCTTGGAGCCAGCCATGCGGAACATGCGTTCTGCACGTCATCTTGATGTGGTAAACATTTGTCTGAAGTTTCATCAAAATTCTTCAAAGGGTTGAAGAGTTACAGAGCGGACACAATTTCGTTTGACGCCCGCCCATCCGCCCATCCGCCCATCCGCCCGCCATACCCCAATCTAATAACCAGGATTTTCAAAATTGAAAACCCTGGTTAAAAAATAGTTCCCCACAAATAATAATGATTTTGCAGTATATGTTTTCATTTCTGTGTCATATGTACCTTAAATAGTAACGCTGAATAATGATATAGATAATATTTATTTTCAATAATGGTATGTATGGGTGAAAATTTAATTTTTTGGGGGAATCAATCTATATCAATCATCAACATTATTTGGTCATATGGCAACACTTGATTTTATGATGTCATGAAATTGTTCAACCTGGTCAACAACAATGTTCTTAGAGAACTCCACCACATTCCATCACAACTATTATTTCAATTTGAACAAAATATGCCTCATTAAATAACAAAAATTTACCTGATTTTTTTAGAGATCTCTTTTCATCCTAATGCAAAAAAGGAAAGAAAAAGAAATAAAAAACAAGAGTAATATGTCTGTAATATGCAGTGACAACATTTGTTCAGAGATCTTTTTTCCCCTCATCATTAAAAAAAAAGTTTTGCAGAATAATCTTCCCTATATAACTGTTGCTTTAACACAATTTAAGCAACATTCATAAAAGAAAAATGAATCATCTCCCCTACATGATTATACTTTAACACAATTTAAGCAACATTCATCAAAGAAAGGTAACTGTATAAGAGCAATTTGACAGCTTTTGGAATAATGAACAAGAGGGCCATGATGGCCCTGAGGTCGCTCACCTGTATATAGGGCCCCCCCCCAATGATCAATGACCCCCTGGGGCGGGGCCAATTTTGACCCCAGGGCTTTTATTTGAACAAACTTGGTAGACACTTATTAGAACATGTTTCATGCTAAATATCTTAGCTCTAACTCTTTTGGTTCTTTAAAAGAAGATTTTTTAAGTTTTTACTATATGCATTTAGGGAAAATCAATGACCCCCTGGGGCGGGGCCAATTTTGACCCCAGGGCTTTTATTTGAACAAACTTGGTAGACAACAATTAGATCATGTTTCATGCTCAATATCTTAGCCATTGCTCTTTGAGTTCTTTAAAAGAAGATTTTTAAAGTTTTTACTATATGCATATAGGGAAAATCAATGACCCCCCGGGGTGGGTCCAATTTTGACCCCAGGGCTTTTATTTGAACAAACTTGGTAGACACCCATTAAAACATATTTCATGCTAAATATCTTAGCTCTAGCTCTTTTGGTTCTTTAAAAGAAGATTTTTTAAGTTTTTACTATATGCATATAGGGAAAATCAATGACCCCCCCCCCCCCGGGGCGGGGCCAATTTTGACCCCAGGGCTTTTATTTGAACAAACTTGGTAGACACTTATTAGAACATGTTTCATGCTAAAAATCTTAGCTCTAACTCTTTTGGTTCTTTAAAAGAAGATTTTTTAAGTTTTTACTATATGCATATAGGGAAAATCAATGACCCCCTGGGGCGGGGCCAATTTTGACCCCAGGGCTTTTATTTGAACAAACTTGGTAGACACCTATTAGAACATGTTTGATGCTCAATATCTTAGCCACAGCTCTTTGAGTTCTTTAAAAGAAGATTTTTTAAGTTTTTACTATATGCATATAGGGAAAATCAATGACCCCCCGGGGCGGGGCCAATTTTGACCCCAGGGCTTTTATTTGAACAAATATGGTAGACACCCATTAGAACATATTTCATGCTAAATATTTTAGCTCTAGCTCTTTGGGTTCTTTAAAAGAAGATTTTTTAATTTTTTACTATATGCATATAGGGAAAATCAATGACCCCCCGGAGCGGGGCCAATTTTGACCCCAGGGCTTTTATTTGAACAAACTTGGTAGACACTCACTAGGAGATGTTTCATGCCAAATATCTAAGCTCTACCTCTTATGGTTTTTTAAAAGAAGATACAGTTAAACTTCGTTCGCTCGAACTCGGATCGCTCGAATACCTCCCTTCACTCGATTTCATCGCCCAGTCCCGGCAAAATTCCTATATAATATATATTGTTCTACCTCTGATCGCTCGAACACCGATCGCTCGAACTCTCGAACCTGATCTCTGGTCCCTTGGGCAGATATATAGTGAAAATCACACCTTTTCGGTCGAACATAAAAAGACAAGTCGACATGTCCTAAATAAATGATAGTCAGCGACACATTTTTTTAACACCTCGTGATCGTGACAAAGGCAATTAAGGTTAATTGATACAAAATAAGAGGTGTTGTAACCGGTTTGTTTGTTATGATAATATTGTTGATTTGCCGTTTAGGGTAACGATAAAAAGAAAATACTAGTAACTCGTGAAATATGCAAAAGTCAATACAGAATGACGTTTACCCGGACGGCTTTAATAACAACCGTTGTTCATGTAACGTCAATTGTAACAGTGTTATCTTTTAATAGATTGATACTTGTTCGTGTGTTTATTTTAGTAAATGACTGCAAATAAATGCTGCTGTAAAACTTTCTCTTAAATAGTTCATTAATTTATTTTTTTAAATTAAATTAATCCTATTATAAACATATAAATATATTTTGAACATTGTTCAACAAGTTTGGTCTGATTGCTCAATCAAACTCAACCAATTACAATATACATGAATATAGATTAACACAACGTATCGTTAATACTTAATTGAAAACACTGAGATAATAATTCTGAATATGCCATATTCGACGAAGATGTATGCTAGAAAACCTTTAGGCATATGATCAACTTAATAATAGTTCGACCTCGGTTGGCTCGAACTACCGATCTCTCGAACAAATTTGCACAGGCCCTCCGAGTTCGAGCGAACGAAGTTCGACTGTATTTAAAGTTTTTTCTTTCCGTTGCCATGGCAACCAGAATTCTGCATGGAATTAAATTCTTTAAACAATTTTTAAAGGTGACCACCAAAGGAACATTCCTGTGAAGTTTGGATGAAATTGGCTTAGTGGTTTATGAGGAGATGTCATTTAAAGTAAAAGTTTACGGACGGACGGACGGACGACGGACGGACGACGGACGAAAAGCGATCACAAAAGCTCACCCTGTCACTTTGTGACAGGTGAGCTAAAAAAGACCAGATAAAGGGAAAAAAGAGGTATTTATGAAACATTAATGGATAATCTTCAGCCAATTTAAAAACTCAACACTTATTTAACAATTAATTGTTAACTACCCTTCATTTCATAAATCACAATGGAAGATGGAGAGTGAAAACCATATTTTTGTCCTATGCTTCAGGGTATCAAAGGGCTGTAACTCTTCTGTCTTATCATGATAAAAGTTATGGATACAAAAATTTCAAATTTTAGTGCATTACACTTGCACATGGTTTAACAACAAAGTCCATACTATGGAATAATAATATTAATAATAATATGGTATCACTATTTCTTTTTTCTTTTGCAGATATTTTATGCTGAAGGTTAAAGTATGTCCAATCATGTGTACACATGGCACTCTGATCCTCTGTACATGATAATTTAAACACAAGCTTCATGCCATATATGTTTTGTTTTTTTCTGTCGGGATACATCGTATACAATACTTTCTTTGAATAATACAGTTTTCAACTTCTACAGTTGTAGTCTCATCTAAACAGTTTTGTGTATTCTAAGAGAACATATTCAACAATACGACTCTGGTACACCATGCTGGTAGCCAGGTTCTGATGCTGAACCTCGGGCCATATCAACGTCGGTCCAAACACGATCGCCAGTTGATGAGCACCCATCTTGTTCTCTTTACTCAAATCATTCACTCTGTCAAATATAAAGATATAATTGTATCAATAAATTATAAAGGCTTAAAGACAGGACAGATATTTTCTCTTAAGCAGAAGACAATATAATTGGTTAGAGAAAGGGATTTTTTGTTGGATTTTAAGTCAGACTGACACTGTAAAGGTCATATGGTGAAGAAAGATCTCAAGGTGCCCCTTCACGCAGTATAGAACCACAGATCTTCCATAAGCTTCTGGATGTAAAATCACTGACCGTCAGTGGAAAACACATTGTGCCATTTATAATGGTTTTTTTTTTTGTTATTTGGGTAAATTTTGATCCATTTATACTGTCGTAGAGTTATTTTTAGTTATATATGTTGATTTTGTTCCATTTGTAGTGTATAGTGTCATTTTTAATTATATGGGTTGATTTTAAGTTGCAAAGACAAAACATCATACAGTGATTTTCCACCCATAACCTCATCAATGACAACAAAACAATGGTTTACTCTCATCTATTTACCAACAATACCACCCACACCTTTATAAGCAGTTCCAACAGAAGTCAAAGTTTTATATAAAGTCCATGATTATAAATTACTGTAAAGAAAGAAATATACTTACTTTGACAAATGTTTAAATAGAACTTTTATAGTTTCATAATTTGGCTTTGGTAATTCTTCTACAGTTGCTTTAATCCCTTTAAATCTATCAGATGCTTTTTCATTTACTGAAACAGAAATAGAGTATCATAATTAAAGATATAAGCTGGTGAAAATGTAGATATAAGGATAACAGAAAGCATGTACATGTATATCAAATCCTACATTTAAAGCAGCACGCCTCCAGATTCATCCTAATTTTCATGAAAATTTTGAAAATGTATTTAAAGGTAAAATATTGTGAAATGAACTAAGACAGTACTTGACACATTACAATCCGCACTTGAAAACCATGTAAATTACCAAAAAGAGGTCAAACGCAGTAGAAATATGATGAAAAATACTACAAAATACTGTCATTAATTGCACACAAGATTATAAATTATCACTTGAATCTTTAATTTGTTTACTTTTCTCAAAGTTTTAATATGTTTTTAACAAGTTTAATTTTCTTGAAATATTTTGGGTCATAGTAATTTAAATAACATCTATATTAACTCAATTTAATACAAGTACATTCAAGTATATTAAAAGTACATGTTATTTCAGCACTTTCAAAACAAAAGAGCCATTATGGCCCTTACTTGCTCATCTGAGGATTTGATTTAAATGGACAAGATTTAATTATCAGGAAATTCCCATATTCCTGATAAAGTTTCATAAAAATCAGCCAAGGGGTTGAGGAGATAGATATTAGAGTTATTCATGTATTTAGCATGCAGACAGTCTAAGATTTTAACAATTTCTTCAATGTCAAATACCTCAGCAGTGAGCATTTTAATCTCATACAATAAGGCTTAAATGTGTTGTCCTATGTAATTCTACATGTATATTAACTAAGTGACCAATTGGGGGAAGACGGGGATACTGACGCAAGGGACATAATAAGATCAGTTTCATGAAAGTCCAGTAAGCAATATCACATGCACAATATCTATGCCCTGAGCATTGTAATTTCACACAATAACACTTAAATGTGTTTTTCTTTCTAAAGTACAATGTATGTATCATTCAAGTGACTCTGTGGCAAGGCCAATATTGACCCAAGAGACATGATTTAGATCAGATTTGTAAATGTTCATAAGGCGATGATACATGCCAAATATCTAAGTTCTAGGCACTGTAGTTTCAAACAAGACTAACATGTGTTTTCCTATAAAAGTCTTTATAAATTAATTGACTCCCTGGGGCGGGGACAATATTGATCTAAGGAAACCCAAACTTGTATTCTGCACATCATCTTATTAAAAGTAACATTTATGCCAACTTCCTTTTATGAGTTCAAAAGATACAGAGTGGACAGAAATTTTTTACATGTGACCTTGACCTGAGAAAGGTCAAACCATAAGCTCTGCACATCATCTCATTATGGTTCACATTTTCTGCCTGGTAGTTTCAATTTCCTTCCATCACTTAAAAAGATACAGAGCAGACAACCAGGTGTATGACAATATATGTACAAAACTTTTTTTCATGTATATAAAAAATAACAATGCTTACAAAAACTTTTAAGGAATTTATCAAATAAGGCATATGTAAACAATGGATCCTTCATCTCTCGGAAGAATAACTTCAAAGTCCCAGTTAGTACATTCACATCCCACATCGGGTCATCCAAGTCATACTGCTCTCCTGAAACACAACATGAAAACAAATTCTTTACTGTATTTAAAAGTATAGGGTTTTTTTTATGTTATTTTAGTAGTTTTAAACAAATTCTTTGGTAATATCACAGTGATTGATCCATCTAACTGGCTATCTTTGATAACAAACAAGTAAAAACCAACTTCCTCACAAGTGACTGATGATTAATATTAGTAACATTGACAAAGCTGAATTCATATGGCATTTTTTAGTGTTTTTTCCCAGCTTTAATGGAGGAGTCAGACACTCCTTAACAGTCATTGCAGACACAAGAAAGCACACGAGTAGAACCACGAAACATTTGTAAGCAGCCTGCCATGGTGACTGCTTGACATAAGAGATTTCAATGCCCTTGACATGACAGGCAATTTGGGATCAGCAAAAGTACATGCTCATGATGAGGCGTAAAAACCAGACTGCAACCATCACCATTTGATCATGGACAATCCTATACTCATTAACTAGAATGATAAAAATTAAATTTATCATTAATTTTACTATATTGTCTTATCACAGAAAAGTAATATCTTTCATAAGCTATGTTATACATGTAATTTAAAAACAAAAACAGGCCATAAATATGTCAAAAATAAGTCATCTGATGCCAAAAGAGAACATAACCAGAGTCACATTGTCAATGACTAAAGCTAAGGTAAGTAACTCTGCTTTTACTATCTGGAATTTTGGATACAAAACTCAATGCCACTTAGACAGAAGATAGTCTTTAAGGTTAATTTTTCCACCACTACTTTTTCAAGCTCAAATCAAAAACTGTATCAGAAAGACTAAAATGATTCTTTGATAGTGTAGGGGCTGGCTAAAGCACAGAAATAATTTCACATGTTTTCAGAATTGCATGAACAATGCATTACTTCAGTCACTTTGTTTTCATTATAAGCAAATACAATATTTTTGTTAAACTATAACAAGAGGGCCATGATGGCCCTGAGGTCGCTCACCTGTATATAGGCCTCCCCCCTCCCCCTGGCAGGGCCAATTTTAACCCAAGGGCTTTTATTTGAAAAAACTTGGTAGACACCCATAAGAAGATGTTTCATGCTAAACATTTAAGCTCTAGCTCATTGAGTTTTTTCAAAGAAGTTTTTACTATACACATATAGTTAAAAAAATGACACCCCTGGGGCGGGGCCAGTTTTGACCCCAGGGCTTTTATTTGAACAAACTTTGTAGACACTTACTAGAAGATGTTTCATGCTTAATATCTAAACTCTAGCTATTCAGGTTTTTTCACAGAAGAGTTTAAGTTTTTGCAATACACATATAAGGAAAATCAATCACCCCGTGGCGGGGCCAATTTTGGCCCCAGGGCTTTTATTTGAACAAACTTTGTAGACACTCACTAGAAGATGTTTCATGCTTAATATCTAAACTCTAGCTATTTGGGTTTTTTCAAAGAAGATTTTTAAAGTTTTTGCTATACACATATCAGGAAAATCAATGACCCCCGGGGCAGGGCCAATTTTGACCCCAGGGCTTTTATTTGAACAAACTTTGTAGACACCCATTAGAACATGTTTCATGCGAAATATCTTAGCTCTAGCTCTTTGAGTTCTTTAAAAGATTTTTAAGTTTTTACTATATGCATATAGGGAAAATCAATGACCCCCTTGGGCGGGGCCAATTTTGACCCCAGGGCTTTTATTTGAACAAACTTGGTAGACACTCACTAGAAAATGTTCCATGCCAAATATCTAAGCTCTAGTTTTTTAAAAGAAGATATTGAAAGTTTTTTCTTTCGGTTGCCATGGCAACCAGAGTTCTGCATGGAATTAAATTCTTTGAACAAATTTTAAAGGTGACCACCAAAGGTACATTCCTGTGAAGTTTGGATGAAATTGGCTTAGTGGTTTATGAGGAGATGTTATTTAAAGTAAAAGTTTACGGACGGACTACGGACGGACGACGGACGAAAAGCAATCACAAAAGCTCACCCTGTCACTTTGTGACAGGTGAGCTAAAAAGTAAGTTATACAAACCTTGATCTACCATACATCGTAATTTCTGTATCTGAGATATATTTCCACCTATTCTGTAAATACCTTCATGTTCTAAACCTGAAGTACAAAATATATTACACATGTATATTGTATATCATTTGTATTGTTTATTGGCTACAATGTTATGATAAAATATAATCTTAATGAAATAGAAACAAATGGATGTGGGAGGTTACAAGGTATATTTTACAGACATTATATAACCATGTAAATTATAGTATTATTTTTTTTACATAATTCAAACATTAGAGTGAAAGGATGAGGTATTTATAACTCCTACATGTCTAACTAACCTTTCATAAAAGACCTAGAGGCCATATCGACTTACAAATATTTCTTTATATTAAGTTTTTTTTTGTTATTATTTTTTTTTTTAATATTTTTATGTCATTTTTTGTTCAAAGTCACACCAACACTGTAATGTTCATATACCACTTGAAAGCTAGCAAGAAAGCTGCCTCACATGAAAACAAATAAAACTCCATGTCAGGATTCGGAAGCACAATGTTGAGGGGAACGTGAACTGTGTACACAGCAAAACAACATTGATGCCTGTTTTCTTTTAGGCCTCAATTATCAAGATGGACCTTAAGGGAAACTCAACAAATGGCAACATTCAAACTTCAACAGGATAACATTGGTTGCATTATTTCAGATATAAGTTTACACCAGTACTTGAGTAGAAGCTAGTAAATGAGCATCCTAAAGCAGCAGAAATATTTGCCTCTTTCATGTAATGAAATTAGTGAGTGGCAAGAAATCAGGGACAGTTATAAATGCAATATTGGCAAACAAATAGCCTTTCCTTATATTTACATTATTAATTCAGATATGTATCAAAATAAATATTTTAAAGCAGCAAAAACTGTCTGTACCTCTTCTTTCAATAGCTTCTATTGACTTTATAACAAACATTGGCACTTTCATTTTTTCTTTGGCACACAACTGCTTGATATCTGAACCAAACACAGCATCTGAAGAAAACAAAATATACAGGGAATATTAGCATGTTACAAAACTGATTTATTTTCTCACTGGTAAAATATTGATTGTTGGACTTTAAGAAACATAAGCAATAACAAGAGCTGTCGGTAGGACAGCAACGCTCGACTATTCTTAGTGCTTGATAGTAAAAAAAAATGCTTGATACAATTACCTCCTCCTGTTTACAGGTTGGGGTAATGATGGTGAACAAGTGTGCAAAGTTTCAAAGCCATATGTCAATGGACTTTGAAAATATTTGAACTATTACAAAAACTTTAACGTAAATTCTAAGTCAAAAAAGGGGCATAATTCTGTCAAAATGCTTGATACAGTTACCTCCTCCTGTTTACAGGTTGGGGTCATGATGGTGAACAAGTGTTCAAAGTTTCAAAGCCATATGTCAATGGACTTTGAAAATATTTGAACTATTACAAAAACTTTAACGTAAATTCTAAGTCGAAAAAGGGGCATAATTCTGTCAAAATGCTTGATACAGTTACCTCCTCCTGTCTACAGGTTTGGGGTCATGATGGTGAACAAGTGTGCCAAGTTTCAAAGCCATATGTCAATGGACTTTGAAAATATTTGAACTATTACAAAAAACTTTAATGTAAATTCTAAGTCGAAAAAGGGGCATAATTCTGTCAAAATGCTTGATACAGTTACCTCCTCCTGTCTACAGGTTGGGGTCATGATGGTGAACAAGTGTGCAAAGTTTCAAAGCCATATGTCAATGGACTTTGAAAATATTTGAACTATTACAAAAACTTTAACGTAAATTCTAAGTCAAAAAAGGGGCATAATTCTGTCAAAATGCTTGATACAGTTACCTCCTCCTGTCTACAGGTTGGGGTCATGATGGTGAACAAGTGTGCCAAGTTTCAAAGCCATATGTCAATGGACTTTGAAAATATTTGAACTATTACAAAAACTTTTACATAAGTGGTTACGCCGACGCGGACACCAACGCCGACGCCGACGCTCGGGTGACTACAATAGCTCTACTTATTCTTATCGAATAGTCGAGCTAAAAACGTTACTGACAACTTTCACATCCCCCTATTTCTGTCTTGACAATAACTCTTCATTTATGGAGGAAATTGAGGGAAAGCATTTAAAAAATAATAATTGGTAACAAGAGCTGTCGGTAGGACAGCAAGGCTCGACTATTCTTAGTGCTTGATAGTAAAAAAAAATGCTTGATAGAGTTACCTCCTCCTGTCTACAGGTTGGGGTCATGATGGTGAACAAGTATGCAAAGTTTTAAAGCCATATGTCAATGGACTTTGAAAATATTTGAACTATTACAAAAACTTTAACGTAAATTCTAAGTCGAAAAAGGGGCATAATTCTGTCAAAATGCTTGATAGAGTTACCTCCTCCTGTCTACAGGTTGGGGTCATGATGGTGAACAAGTGTGCAAAGTTTCAAAGCCATATATCAATGGACTTTGAAAATATTTGAACTATTACAAAAACTTTAACATAAGTGGTTACGCCGACGCAGACGCCGACGCTTGGGGGACTACAATAGCTCTACTTATTCTTATCGAATAGTCGAGCTAAAAAAGCACTGTACTTGCTAGAAAGTATGTTTTTCCCCACAATATAGAAGTGACAATTCCAATTTTTGAAATTGCAAATTCTTAAGAAAATCAACAATGGACAGAAAATTAAATTTGATGTGAAGTTTTTGAGAATGTGCAACCAAAGTTACACAGCCAGTTCTTTTACACTAAATAAATTGCTCAACATTTTCTATAATTTCATACTGATGCAATTTGCAACACTTTTCCCAATTCCCAATGTTGTTACCCCATAGTGCAGCAACAGGTTAACTCTTAGTTTGAAACAATGGCAGTTATCTTGTCACCACAGAAGTTGACGATATGTTGGCGGCAGTCATAAAACAATTGAAAAGATCTGAAGTAACATATATATAAATACTTATTTATAAACACATCTATAAAAATTTATATTATTTACCCCCAAAAAATCACATTTTGTGACAATTCCAGGGTGTGTTAGGGGAGGTGCCAAACTGATGTAAAAACAGCTCAAAATTGCATATTTCATTAACACATACCTTTATATACACATACCTTTATATATACCCTTTTTGATAAGTTTCTCCTTCTCACTTCTGTTGCTCATAAACCTTTCCAACACATTCTTAATTTTCCCTTTTCTTTCTAATGTTCCAGAGTCAGACGGTTTTCTACTGTGACCTTTATCAGAAAATCATAACACGCATGAATAACCACTCTAAACAAATACCTTTGATTTTCATATTTTTTTTTTAAAGGAAATCCACTGAGGCCTAGTAGCCAAAAAGCATAAAATTTGAATTTGTACAGTATACAGTATATCAGCTGTGTTCTTAAAAAAGATAAATAAGAAACTTACTTTGAAATAAATTGAAAATTGTATTTTTGTGCTATTCCTTTTCCAATAGGAGTGAAAAGCATTGCAACACTTACTTACATCAAATGTAACATTAATCTCGAAATTCTCAAAAATTCTCAAAAATCTCTAAAAATTATTTCAGGTCTCGTCATGTCAAAAATTCTCAATGGTGTCCCTTTAAGATTTATTCTGCATGACTTTTGGTAAAGTCCATAGTAAGTTTCAGATATTTGGATTTTAAAATACTTATCCTAAAGCAGCTAAAGTATGGAACCTGGTCAGACCATATGCATGTGCAAGCTTATCTAGCTCTATACCGTTGGAACTGATACATTAAAATTGTTAAATTGATGTTAGCACCTAAATACCTGGTAATAATGTTTCTTCAGCCTAGTCAAGTGAAAATTTTTTCAATTAAATCAATGTATGATAAATTACTATATATCTTGTTTTTACTTCAGATAATCTGTTTGGTTCTGATGTTAAGTAGGTGCCCATCTAAACTTTACTTTGAGCATAATTTGGCATACAAGAAGAACCGTGAACTTTCTGCAACAGCTGAAAATGTCATTTTTCTTGAGAATATGACCCCTGTTAAGCTCAATGCCACTAAGGTCATACAAATAGAAGATTTATAAGTATAATGCTGTACAAAAATTCAGGGGACGGGAAATTTTTGACAGCAATAAAATCAAAAACTAACAATAAGTTGAAAATCACAGACTTGGTTTCATTGAGTATCTTCATGACAGAAAATGCAAAGTGCAATATCTCTCATGTTCCCAAGCACCCTCTGGACCATCTTTATATGTATTATTATCAATTAACCCAAAGGTACAAAATTTAACAACACTCATGATTTAGTTTTTAATGATATATACCTTTAAATGAAGGTTTCCTGGAAACTTTTTCAGGTTCTGGTGTGAGTGTTGACATACTAGGTTGACTGGAGCCTGGAGTGTCAGGAGAACCACCCTGAAATATAAACTTCACCTTATAACAAAAACACAACATTGATTGTTTCCTTTTTTTTTCCTTTGGTTGGTTAAAAAGGCATCAGGCCAAAATTTAGCTAAGATGGTGACTTCCTGGTACTGGTAAAGGAATCAAAGAACCAAAGTCTGCGCCAACTACTTTCTTCATATACAGGTTAAAATTTTGTTTGCATGAACTTGGATCACTCAAATACCTCCCTATACTAAAACTCATCACCGAGTTCCCACCAAATTGCTGTGATCCAACAGCAGCATCATAGAAATAAACTTATCATTGAATGTTGATAAAAAAAACCTGCAAAACACCTTTATTCCTAAAACATATAACACCGCAACTGGGGCAAACCTGACCCGTCCTTATCATCAATGCAAAAAATAAATTTAAAAATAATTATAATAATATTAAAAAGTACTTTATAACTGTGGTTCTTTTAAAGGAAGAATAAATTTGTATAATTCAAAAAAACATCGTCATTTAGCTTTATTACACTTGAGTTATACAAAATTATTGACTCTGCCTGATTTCACAATGCAGCATTTAACATATAGAGGCAAATAAAGAGAAGTTAAAAGTGCAGCCTTTTTTTTTCTCCTCTATCTCTCTTATACTATATATATTATCCTGTTTTAAATTGTAAACAGCTGTGTTGATAAATGAGCTATCGTTTCTCTACTGTTAAGATTTAAAAGGAACAGCATGGATCCCTGATCAGGACTGCCGGGCACAGGTGGTCTGGATCCATGTGGTCGCAAACCCATTATGGTTGGTTTTGTGTTGACACGGGCTCAAATGATCTTAAAGTACATCAAAACAATGATGATTGATAGTATTTCTCACTCAAAAGAATTTAATATATTCAGTGTTATTTTTTGATTTCTTTGGATGAAGTTTCCTGGTTTTGTCACAAAAGTCATTTTGTGGCTTCTTAAACTGCGAAGGATTGTATATTTCTCAAAAGGAATGCAAATCAATGTACGATTTTAACAGCCCAAAGAATGGGAAATTCTGTTAGGATTGACCTACCACGAAAATTAAGACGTATAATAATGAATTTTTTTCAGATATAACATTATTTCTTTCCAAATTGACTGTTCTACCTTCATATTAAATCTTAAAATTGGCTTATATTTTCTTTCTTCAAAAGCTTCTTTATATTTTGGGTGTCCAGAAGTTACTTATTGTATACAAAGCATGAGCCATCTTTTTGTACTTCATATATGCTTTTATAGCAATTACAATTTTTGGAAAGTAGGGGGGGGCATTTATAGTAATTTAGTTATATTTATGGAATCAAAATCTTACATTATAGTAATTTGTATATTGTATGGAAAATCCCTAGCTACTTTGTTTTACATTCTAATTTCTTCTCCACATTTTAGTGCTATTTTTCAGGATGAAAACATTATTCCATGAACAAGAAAAAAACTAATATCGATGGCTTATGTGCGTTTATACAGACAGATATGTTTGCTTACCAGCTCTTTGGTGGGTGCTTGTATGGTATTTTATTAAACCATTCCTGCATTTTAATTCATCATCAGCTTGCAATAATATCTGACAATTAGGGACAAGTTATTCTGAAAATATTGAACAAATCGATTTATAAATATTAAAACAATCCATATAAATATTTGAACAAAATCCATATAAATATTAAACAAATCATTAAAATATTGAACAATATTCCATATAAAATATTGACAAAATCCATATAAAATTATTGAACAAAATCCCTATAAAATATTAAACAAAATCCATATAAAATATTGAACAAATCCATATAAAATATTAAAACAAAAATCCATATAAAAACAAGCAATGATCATTGTATTGAAATCATCCATAAGTCCCCTACAGTTAGAACCCCCAGCAACATTCTGAAGGGCCATTGGCCATTCACTAATGTTTCAATTTTTCTCTTTTTTTTTAAAGAAAATTTGTGGAAAAGTTCTTTAAAAGTGAGTCACAGGAAACAGTTTTTTATGAACCCAAATAGACTGAAGGACACTTAAAGTAAATTTTTTCAAACCATCCCCGTTACCAAAATATAACATTTTTAAATCCATACAAAAATATTGAACAAAATTCCATTATTTAACAAAGCCTCTTGTCAGCAGCCAGAATTTCTACAAATGGGATAAGTTACAGACCTTAGATCAGTCTAACACTGTGAACCATCTTGATCTGGTCGTGCCACTGTTCCCTAACTTTCAGTCAGAACATAGTCTTGACATTTTTCCCTATAATGACAGATTAAAAAATTGTTGCATGTTCATTTCAGATATTAGGCATTGATAAGGGTCTAGAACAAATTATTGAACATTAATCCATGTTGCAGGACAACAGTGATCTAGGAACCTTAGTTTAGCTCTCAAGTTAATTACACAATACTAACCGATTTCCAAACACAATTATAAGAAAGACATTAGGTTTTATGATGGATGAGCCCACAGGCTATTATAACTGAGCGTTACCCAATAATAACATGTTATACTAATAACAATGTGACAGGGTAAATCTTTTGAAGGTTCATATTCATAAAGTCTCGGTTATGTAAAGGTCATTACCCTTTACATTCCAAAAAATACCTTGTTAGAAGGAAAACCTTCAGGTGCTTGCCCCTTCCTGCATTATTTTTCATTAGAAGTTAGAAACCTGCATGAGTAGTTATCACCATTCAGAGAATCTGGCTGATTACTTTAACCGTTACCTGCTGGTGGGAACTGAATATACCCTGTTACCAGTGTTTTGTTTTGTTTGTTTGATTGGACTTTTATGCTCCCACCCACACAGTATTAGGTTCATTTGGCGACGTTCAGCTTTACTGGTGGAGGAGACTTTCAAGTGCCCTTTCGTGAATTTTTCAGGCACGAATTGAGAACCTCAGAAGAACCAGCCGATTTTCCCGTAAGCTAACTAGATATCTTCCTCACATTAAAAGCTAAAAGGCCCTGTTGAGATTCGAACCCACAGCGATGATGGGGCAAAGTGGTTTGAAGTTTGGCGACCTTAACCAACTTGTATTATCTGACCATTTGAAGCTGCACTGATTGCTATTCAGTCAATACTAAATTTGAATTTTTCCCTAAAAGTGATGAATGATTATGCCCGATTGTAAGTTGGATAGTCAGTTTTTCGTATTTAGTGTGGTAGGGTTCAATACATGAAATTCCAAAGTCACTAGCAGATTCAAACCAACAAGCAGCAAGGTGAAAATCTAAGAAAGGGCAAGAAATTGAAAGAAATTTCTTTAACAAATTGCCAACAAAAAATTTAATACAGTATGTACATTTAAAAAAAACATTTCCAGTTAAATTTCACAAAACTAACTTTGCTTTCCTGTCAGATAAACATAACAAAATTTGTACTCAACCCCAATGGTATTTCTTGCTGGTGTATTTTTCTGGTATCTTTATCAAACTGTACACGTTGCCAAGGTAACAAGTGGTTTCATATTTCCCATGAGGTTGCTCCTGCTTTTAAGGTTGAGAGGATTTCTGGTCTTTGTAAGAATACTAGGTTAGAGCCTCCGAGCTTCACATATGTCATGGCCCACTTTTTTCTGTAGATGATTATAAATATAATAATATTATTCTTAAGCTTTTCTGTGACTGAAGGCAATGTGTTTATTTTATTTATACAGTTTTACATTAAACTAAATGTTCCAGAAAATTTCCTTGACAAAGCAAGTCTGTACAAAATTGGCAGCTCAATTTAAAAATTCCGTATGTACTTATTTACGTAAACTCAGTTTTATTAATATTTATAAATTGGTTTATTTGGGTTTTTTTTACGATGTACCAAAACAGTATTGGTTATAATGGCTCTGAAACAGGAAAGGATGATTTGTTGCTAACCTCGGGTGCTTACAAACTTCAAAGCAACACCAGGGGTCAAAACCACCTCACCTGCTAGGCGCTAGAGAAGCTTTGACTCCAGTTAATCAAAACCCTTAGTTGCCTCTAAGATCCCAGGGATGACGGAGTGCGCTTGCAATTCTTTACTTTCCCTTAAATTAAAGTAACTGCCTCACCACAAGGGGGACTAATTTATAAATGAATTCTTTAACTGTGATAAGCAAAAAATATGAATGAAAGACTTACGATGGTTTCTTGCCATTTATGAATTTACATTTATTCAAGAAGCCTTCTATAGGTTCCTGAAAACAGAAATATAAAATTAAATACACGTCATCACAATAATTCATGCCTTCAAAATACAATAAACATTATCATAAAATATTATTATTTTTTTCTTATCATAAAGATTTTCTTTTTTAAAAATATACACGTTGTTGTTTTAACTTTTTAAGATTTTACAATAAAACAATAAAAGTGGAACAAACAATCAACACAGGATAAGTTTTAAAGTTTATTTAATGATGCCAACCGACGTTTTTAAGATTTTTAGTGTTTCAACATGACTTATATTCTTAGATCATTTAAATTGTCCTGTCACTATAGATAAAACTAAATTCATTTACGTTGTTATAATTTTACATATAAATAGTAAAAAGTCTTTTCAAAATATTACATTCATGCATTGGAAGCAGCTGAGGCTTTGATCCATTATAGAGCCATGGTCTGCCTGTACATCCGTAGAGTCGGAACAGTCAATATAAAATATTGTCATTGGAACAACTTTAAAATCCTTAACCTACTAGAACCAAAAGTGATTAATCTTTGTGAGATCCGTTTAGTGCCAGAAGCCAGCCTACAAATCCATTCAGTATGATCAGACAGTAAACTGGCGTCTGAACACCTTCACAAATTTTTATATCTGAATAACACTAAAATTGATAATGGACAGGTCAAAAAGGTACCCGGGACAAGTCCATTTGGGTAATTCAGCAGGCTAAAGGTTAGACCACTTCCTAAATCTTGATATACATGTTGTACTTATGTATGTGAATCACACAAACATGAGATATGTGAACGTTTTTATCAAGATAGGGTCACTATGGGAGGGAGGAACTATCATTCATACATACTGTAAATTTCTATATAAACACCAGCTGGGTACTGTCCTCTTTAAATAAATCCTATCAATATCATATATTTTTGTTATGATGAACATTAGAAATGTCTATTTATAAAGAGACTGAAATCTGTCATTTTAAGACATCATATGATATTACATTTGATAAAATAACATAAATCCTGATCAGTGCTGTAAACAATTGTACAGACTTGTACATGTATATCTCCTGTAGCTTTACATAGTCATTTTCTATATTTAGCATTAGTAATTTCTAATTATGATACCGGTATTTGATTATTTTGTTAGGGACTATTTTCAGACCAAAAAACATACCTTGTGCAAAAAGTTCTCATGTTAAAAATGTGAAGTGACCAGCAAAAACAATAAAATAAGAGTGAAGTTAAAAATGTGAATTGACCAGCAAAAACAATAAAATAAGAGTGAAATTAAACTCACACACAACATTTTAATAAATGTCTTGCTGAAGGATGTTAAGGAGTAATAATCATGACTGTAATAGATTCCAATTTGACCTTTTAGATAAAAGGGCATATGTATATTAATGAGTAATCATTAATTCAGAGCATATCCTATAACAGTTAATTTGATTTGCAATTACATAATAATGTAATTATGAGATAAATGTCAAGGTCCTCTTCTTACATTGTCATATACAAAGCCTGTTGGGGGGTGACTGGATCTAAACAGTGCGGACCAAGATCAGCTGGCACTTTCCTGCCGTCTAATAATGGTCTACAATGTTCACTATTCAGTCATATACAATGTACATATTTCAAAACTTTTCACAAAAATTATAAATGGTTTTGTCCAGATTTAAAGATGGACCATTCTATTTAAGGCTTAAAGTGTGGTGTGGTGATGGTTAAAACACATTGAGCACGAACCCCCCAGTTTTTTTGCCGTAATAATGCACCTTTGCCACCAATTAATTATAAAGCCAAAGTCAGATACTCATTTTTTTTAAAAATGTTCTGCACTATATTGTAGACTGCTGTATTTCAATAATCATATCCTGAAATCCCTTAAACTACTAATAGAATGTTCCAAACTCAAAGCAGGGTGAGTCCATTACACCATTTCAGTAGGGTATGGGTTAAGTGTGACACTCTTACAAGCGTTCTATTTTGATTGATGAATCTAATTCACACTTCACATCAAACAAGAGCTAGCCATAAGACCGTGAGTGCGCTCAAATATAGTGCTTGATAGTTAGAAAAGGAACATAACTCAACAACAAGGGTGCCATAGTCACAAAATACGCCCGTTTACGAAAGCTTTAGATGGAGATGGGGGCATTATGGATAAGTGTTATCTAGCAAGCAAGTTTTTATTCTTGGCACTCACAGTGTTGTTAAAATGAACCTTAAAACAAATCAGTAGGGAAGATATGCACAGGATGTGTGACCTTGACCTTGGTTCGCAGGGACCTGAATTTTATGCACGGCACTCAGCCTCACAATGATGAACATTTGTGCCAAATTATATTGAAATCCCTCTATGCATGTAGAAGTTTTGCTCCAGACAAGCGTTTTTCTATGAGCTCTTAACTGTGACCTTCACCTTTGACCTAGAGACTTGGTTCATGTGCAGGGCACTACGTCTCATGGTGGTGAACAATTCTATAAAGTAACATTAAAAATTCCTCCATGCATGTTAGAAAATATTGCTCCAGACAACATCTGGATATTTAATCATCTCCAGTGACCTTGACCTTGCAAATATTAACCTAAATTAAATGTGTCACACCTGTAGTCATGATAGTTACCATTTGTGCTACAATCCATCAATAAATGATGACTAAATGGTCCCTATACACATCTTCAAATTTTATCTGAACTTTGACCTCTATATTGTGTAACCTTGACTTTTGGTCGCAGGGATCTGAATTTTGCGTGCGACACTCAGCCTCACAATGGTGAACATTTGTGCCAAGTTATATTGAAATCCCCCTATGAATATAAGAAGTTTTGCTCCAGACAAGCGTTTTTCAATGAGCTCTAAGTGTGACCTTGACCTTTGACCTGGATCATGCATGGAGCAATACATATCATGGTGGTGAACATTTCCATATAAGTATTATCAAAAATTCTTCCATACATGTAGGAGATATGCTCCAGACAAAATCTGGATATTTCACCATCTTTAGTGACCTTGACCTTGCATATATTGACCTAAAGTACATGTGTCACAGCTGTAGTCATGATAATGACCATTTGTGTTACAATCCCTCAATAAATGATGATTAAATCGTCCCTATACACATCTTCATATTTTTATCTAAACTTTGACCTCTATGTGTGACCTTGACCTTGGCTGCAGGGACCTGAATTTTGTGCGCGACACTCCGCCTCACAATGGTGAACATTTGTGCCAAGCTTATATTGAAATCCCTCTATGCATGTGGAAGTTTTGCTCCGGACAAGCGTTTTTCAATGAGCTCTAAGTGTGACCTTGACCTTTGACCTAGAGACCTAGTTCATGTGCGTGACATGGCTTCTAATAATGGTGAACATTTCTATGCAAATTTCATTAAAATCCCTCCATGCGTGTAGGAGATATGCTCCGGACAAAATCTGGATATTTCATCATCTTTAGTGACCTTGACCTTGTATATATATTGACCTAAATTATATGTATCACAGCCATAGTCTTAATAATGACCATTTGTGTTACAATCCCCTCAATAAATGATGACTAAATGGTCCATATACACATCTTCATATTTTTATCTGAACTTTGACCTCTATGTGTGACCTTGACCTTGGCCGTAAGGACCTGAATCTTGCGCGCGACACTCCGCCTCACAATGGTGAACATTTGTGCCAAGTAATATTGAAATCCCTCTATACATGTGGAAGTTTTGCTCCGGACAAGCAATTTTTCAATGAGCTCTAAGTGTGACCTTGACCTTTGACCTAGAGACCTGGTTCATGTGCGCGACACTGCTCCTCATAGTGGTGAACATTTCTATGAAGTTTCATTAAAATCCCTCCATACATGTAGGAGATATGCTCCGGACAAAATTGGACGCCGCCCGCCCGACCGCCAGGGGCGTTCCCATAATACGTCCCGTTTTTCAAAAGGGCGTATAAAAAGTTTACTCAAGAGTTATTTGACCTGTGCCCATCATGAGAACAGTGTGTGAACTTTCAACCTTTTCCCTATGTTAGTTTTTAAGATACCAATAATTAATCCAAATGGGACGGCAAAGCCGGGGAAAGTACATTAGCTATATATCAAGGTAATAAAATGGGAACTGAATTTGGCGTAGTAAGTAGTTAAGGATTCAGCTGCTAAACTAAGGGCTTATAATTCTAAGCCCTCAGTACTGCTGCCTAGTACTGTTCTCTGATAGAACCAGTACTGGTTTATACAGGACAATGACTCAAATAAGCTAGTCTGCTGTCACTGCAAACAAATTTCAATAAATAATCTAAATCTCAAAACCATTAACAAAAGTGTTATCATAAAATCTGATGTAAACATAATACATGATACTGAGGCAAGCTCTAATGCACACATTCTTATTATGTATTAAATTCAAGTTTTATATTATTAGCATGCTCATTTCCAGTGCTGATTTGTTTGTATACATATCCCAAGCATTAAACAAAATCAATACACCACATCAAATCATTTCCATAAAAGCAAATTAGCTCATTTTGAAAATTGCTATGTCTCTGCAATATCGTTCTACCTATTTGTCCAAAACTTTTTTTTATTACATTTAAATCTAGATTAGGATATTAACTTATCAATAAAATCTGAGTATCTTATGAATAAGTTGTTAGGGAATATTACAGTTAAAATCAGCCTAAATCAGCTATGGACTAGAAATGTGTCATCATGCCACGGATGCCCCCGCATGCAGCCAAAATTTCAGATGTTATAATATTTAGTTCCAAATTTGTTTGCACAATTTTTTTTTTTTTCATTTTAAGTTCAAAGCCCTTAAAACTTTTCATTGCTAACACAAACCATTTCCACAATGTTCAAGGCACTGAAATTATTCAGTCTTAACCTTTTGAAAATAGCATATTTCATATTTTAGCCAAAATAATGGCTACATACATTTCCCAAAAAAAGTATAAGTGCTGAAACTGAAAGTTCAAAAAATTTTCCAACATTCAAGAAAGATAAGTTTGTCCAAAATCATTGAACCACGACCAAATTCAAACTTAAACTGCTTATTCCTAAGATGTATCTATATTATTTTCAAAGTGAAAAGTGACATAATTCTGCCAAAAAATCATCGAACCATGACCAAATTCCAAACTTGACCTGCCCATTCCTTTGACATATCCATATGTCAAATTTGAGTTGAATAGGTAACACTATTATGAACAGAAACTGTAAATTTCATATTATTTTCAAAGTGAAAGGTGCATAACTCTGCCAAAAATCATTGAACCATGACCAAATTCGAACTGGGTATTCCAAAAACATATCCATATGTCAAGTTTGAGTTGAATGTGTTGTACCATTATGGAGATAATGAACGAAAACTGAAATTTTCATATTATTTTCAAAGTGAAAGGGCATAACTCTGCCAAAAATCATCGAACATGACCAAATTCGAACTTGGGACATGTATTTTATCATGGCATATCCATATGTCAAATTTGAGTTTTGAAATGTGTTGTACCTTTTTGGGGAGATTAATGAACGAAAAAACTGAAAAATTTCATATTATTTTCAAAGTAAAAAGAGGGGCATAACTCTGCCAAAATCATCGAACCATGACCAAATTCGAACTTGGCCTGTATTTATCATGACATATCCATATGTCAAGTTTGAGTTGAATGTGTTGTTACCTTGGGGAGATAATGAACGGAAACTGAAAATTTCATATTATTTTAAAGTGAAAGGGGGGCATAACTCTGCCAAAAATCATCGAACCATGACCAAATTCGAACTTACATGTATTTTATTCATGGCATATCCATATTGTCAAATTTGAGTTGAATGTGTTGTACCGTTGGGGAGATAATGAACGAAAACTGAAAATTTCATATTATTTTCAAAGTAAAAGGGGCATAACTCTGCCAAAAATCATCGAACCATGACCAAATTCGAACTTGACCTGTATTTTCTCATGACATATCCATATGTCAAATTTGAGTTGAATGTGTACAACCGTTACTAAGATAATGAACGGAAACTGATGATGACGGAATGACGGAAGGACGGAACAGGGTAACACTATATGCCCCGGCCATTAAATGGCGGGGGCATAAAAAAAACAACAACACCCCCTAAAAATGTTAGTTAAACCTCACCCCATCATACCAACATAAACCCAACAAATTGTAAGAACGTGAAAAACTTGTGAGAAAAAAGAAAGAAGAGACTTACGTTAATATTAACAGTTTGAAATACGGCCTGCGGGTGATGATTGTCATGATGGAGTTGGGAGTGGCCTGTATGGAAGTGGGAGTGGCCTGTAACCACGCCTTCTACAGACTAGAATAAATGTTATACACAAAATGCTATATTTGCTTACAGGTTATATACTGAGCAGTCTGATTAGTAAATAAAGATTATCATTAATGTATATAAGTTAGTATACCTTCAAACATATTGTCACCTCAACTTCAAAATCTTGTCTTAATTAAAGAATAAATCTTGGCCAGAATGTAATATAATGAAGTCCAAGAATGCATTATTATGCACGAGCTGGTTTAATTGATGGCTGCTAGTAAGCCTCCAATTGAGCCAAACTGTTTTAAACATATTTCATAATTTGATTTTTGCAATATACAGGTATTAGCAGCTGACTTGAACAAGTAATCTTTGATAACAACACTTCAAGTAATTGTCAATATATGAATGTATGGACTAAAACTTTTTGTATTTTCAGAAAAATCTTAAAGTCAACAGACTTGTTCATAAACATTTTGTCATTGCCAGTAAATCTTATGAATTTGTTCATATGCCTTATGTTGCCAGTAAGTCTTATACCACTGTAGTCTTGTTCATGATCATTTTGTTCTTGCCAGGAAATCTTATAGTCTTCTAAATTTGCCAGTAAACCTTTAAGTTTTATTCATAAACTTTTTGTTCTTGCTAGTTAAAGTTTTGTTAATCTTAAAGTCTTGTTCATAACCATTTTGTCCCTGTCAGTAAATTATACATATAGTCTTACTTTATAAACTTTTTGTTCTTGATGATATTTACATTAGATATCTTGTACATAAACTGTTCTATAAAGCTATTGTTTGTTCAAGTATCATTTTCTTGTCCATAAACTATATTTTTCAATAAACCTCATTACCCATAAATTATGTTGTTTATAAACTTATTATATGGTGTACTTGTCCATAAACTTAGTGTACAGTGTACTTGTCCATAAACATATTGTGCAGTGTACTTGTCCATAAACTTAGTGTACACTGTATTTGTCCATAAACTTATTGTACAGGGTACTTGTCCATAAACTTATTGTACATTGTATTTATCCATAAACTTATTGTACAGTGTACTTGTCCATAAACTTAGTGTACATTGAACTTGTCCATAAACTTATTGTACAGTGTACTTGTCAATAAACTTATTGTAAAGTGTACTTGTCCATAAACTTAGTTGTACATTGTACTTGTCCATAAACTTATTGTACAGGGGTACTTGTCCATAAACTTATTATACAGTGTACTTGTCCATAAACTTAGTGTACCATTGTATTTATCCATTAAACTTATTGTACAGTAGGTACTTGTCCATAAAACTTAGTGTACATTGTACTTGTCCATTAAACTTATTGTGCAGTGTACTTGTCCATTAAATTAGTGTACATTGTATTTGTCCATAAAACTTACTGTAAGTGGTATTTGTCCATAAACTTAGTGTACATTGTACTTGTCCCATAAACTTACTGTAAGTGTATTTATCCATAAACATATTGTACAGTGTACTTGTCCATAAACTTAGTGTACATTGTATTTGTCCATAAACTTATTTTACAGTGTACTTGTCCATAAACTTATTGTACAGAGGTACTTGTCCATAAAACTTACTGTAAGTGTATTTGTCCATAAACTTATTGTACACTGTATTGTCCATAAACTTATTTTACAGTGTGCTTGTCATAAACTTAGTGTACATTGTACTTGTCCATAAACTTTTTTGTACAAGGTACTTGGTCCATAAAATTACTTGTACAGTTGTACTTGTCCATAAACTTAGTGTACATTTGTATTTATCCATAAACTTATTGTACAGTGTACCTGTCCATTTAAACTTAGTGTACATTGTACTTTTCCATAAACTTATTGTGCAGTGTACTTTCCACAAACTTAGTGTACATTATATTTGTCCATAAAACTTACTGTAAGTGTATTTGTCCATAAACTTAGTGTACATTGTACTTGTCCATAAACTTATTGTACAGGGTACTTGTCCATAAACTTATTGTACAGTGTACTTGTCCATAAACTTAGTGTACATTGTATTTATCCATAAACTTATTGTACAGTGTACTTGTCCATAAACTTAGTGTACATTGTACTTGTCCATAAACTTATTGTGCAGTGTACTTGTCCATAAACTTAGTGTACATTGTATTTGTCCATAAACTTACTGTAAGTGTATTTGTCCATAAACTTAGTGTACATTGTACTTGTCCATAAACTTACTGTAAGTGTATTTATCCATAAACATATTGTACAGTGTACTTGTCCATAAACTTAGTGTACATTGTATTTGTCCATAAACTTATTGTACAGTGTACTTGTCCATAAACTTATTGTACAGGGTACTTGTCCATAAACTTACTGTAAGTGTATTTGTCCATAAACTTATTGTACACTGTACTTGTCCATAAACTTATTGTACAGTGTGCTTGTCCATAAACTTAGTGTACATTGTACTTGTCCATAAACTTATTGTACAAGGTACTTGTCCATAAAATTATTGTACAGTGTACTTGTCCATAAACTTAGTGTACATTGTATTTATCCATAAACTTATTGTACAGTGTACCTGTCCATAAACTTAGTGTACATTGTACTTGTCCATAAACTTATTGTGCAGTGTACTTGTCCATAAACTTAGTGTACATTGTATTTGTCCATAAACTTACTGTAAGTGTATTTGTCCATAAACTTAGTGTACATTGTACTTGTCCATAAACTTACTGTAAGTGTATTTATCCATAAACATATTGTACAGTGTACTTGTCCATAAACTTAGTGTACATTGTATTTGTCCATAAACTTATTGTACAGTGTACTTGTCCATAAACTTAGTGTACATTGTATTTGTCCATAAACTTAGTGTACTGTGTACTTGTCCATAAACTTAGTGTACATTGTACTTGTCCATAAACTTACTGTAAGTGTATTTGTCGATAAACTTATTGTACAGTGTACTTGTCCATAAACTTAGTGTACATTGTATTTGTCCATAAACTTAGTGTACATTGTACTTGTCCATAAACTTACTGTAAGTGTATTTGTCGATAAACTTATTGTACAGTGTACTTGTCCATAAACTTAGTGTACATTGTATTTGTCCATGAACTTAGTGTACTGTGTACTTGTCCATAAACTTATTGTACAGTGTACTTGTCCATAAACTTACTGTACATTGTATTTGTCCATAAACTTAGTGTACTGTGGATTTGTCCATAAACTTAGTGAACAGTGTACTTGTCCATAAACTTAATGTGCTTGTGCATAAACATATGCATTATAAAGTTGCCCAGTGCTAAATAAAACTAGGAAGCTAATACACAAACTTTGACATGAGGTGACAAAATGTATGATACATTTGTAATTAAAGAAGAGATGCATGTATATGTCTTAAATAAAGAACTGAAAAGCCTGAGTTTGTAATATATCATTCAATTTTTCAGTAAACATTTTTTTCCATTACACATGCCTTTGGTATAGACTATAGTGATATTTTGTTCTTTTAATTTTTTTTCTTCAGAATGTATAAAAACAAGAGGGCCATGATGGCCCTGAGGTCGCTCACCTGTATAGAGGCCCCCAGAGTGGGGCCAGTTTAAACCCCAGGGCTTTTATTTGAACAAACTTGGAAGACACCCATTAGAAGATGTTTCATGATGTCGGACGCCGGACGAAAAGCGATCACAAAAGCTCACCCTGTCACTTTGTGACAGGTGAGCTAATAATGATAAAGTAAAAGATTCATAGATGTGCTGATCTCTTCTTGTTTTTAATTCAAATACTTGTAAGTTTCCATACCAAAAACAAGTTTTTATTTTATCTAAATCTGTACTTTATCCCATTTTCAGTAAAGTAAACAATGCCAAATTATAACAAATCTAAAGAAAATACTTTCTAATATGGCAGAAACAAATTCTTAATATATAAATAAATTAGGATGAAAAGAAACCACCCAACAAAATAAACATCACTCAACATAATATTGCATGGATTCAACAATGGGATTATTTCATTCAATCAGTGTATGTTTAATGGTAAGTGTGCTTAAAATGATTTCACTAATTTTGGGGTGTCAAACTAAGGTAATCAATGAAAGGTTGTGGTGAGATGTGCAGTACATGCTGGTTGACATGCTTCTAAGACTTGCTAGTTTCAGACAAGGACATTCAGATTTCACACAGTCAGAATTTGCAAGTTGCTAGGCACAGATAATTCTGGTTGCTAGGTGGCAGAAAGAACTATTTTGGTAGAAATCACACTTAAAGTCATACCTAAATTGACAATTTGCACAGTCTAAAAAATTCCTGTGTATTGATATTTGGGTTCCTTGTGAGAAATCCCTTACTACAGAAATGTATTCTGAAGGCACTGTATGAAAGTTTAATTTTACTTAAAAATCTTTTTCTTTTTTTAACCATTTCTTCTTTCAGCCATGTTATTTTCAATTCTACTTTTGAAATGAAGACTTATCTTTCCAGATAAACAATTTCAGTAAGTTTATGTATCTCTCTTGTCTATGTAAACTTTAAACTTCGTAAACTTCAGTAAACTACGGAACATCCCCTACCTCCCGGGTACCATTCTTTTTATCAATATACCATTAAGTTCTTTTATCTACTTCCTTTTATCTTTTACTTGACATGTTTTAATATCAAAATAATGCATTATTCTCTATCAAACACCCCCACCCCCGATAAAACTTGTCCCATTATATATAGCAATACGGAGGATTAAAATTTTCAAATAATAATTTTCCCCCCAAACATTATAAAGATTTCAAAAAATGAACCCCAAAAGTCAATCACCAA